GGAGCAGGGAGCCCAATGTGGGGCTTGATCCCAGGACCCTGGGATCATGACCTGAGCCGAAGGCAGACGCTTAACGACTGAGCCACCCGGGCCCCCCTTCCTCTCATGATTTTTAAAAAGTATTTTCTTCTCTCTAGCTTGCTGTATTATAGGAACACAGTGTATAATACATATAACCTACAAAGTATGTGTTGATTGACTGCTTATGTTATCAGTAAGGCTTCTGGTCAACGATAGGCTATGAGTAGTGAAGTTTTGGGGGAGTCAGAGTTATATGCAGATTATCGACTGCGTGGCGGGTCAGCGCCCCTCACCCCTGCATTGTTCAAGGGCCAGTTGTAGTCTAAGTGATTATCCATTCACTTAACTTACTCATCAAATACGTATTGAGTGCCTGCTATGGGTCAGGCACTGTTCTCGGCACCAGGGGGACAGCAGTGAACAAGACAAGCAAGGTCCGAGCTGTCCTCGAGTTTAATAGTCCAGGAGAGGGGGACAGAACAAAGGAGTCAATAGACTCCTAGTTGCTGGGCTGTTATTTGTACTATCCTCACAGTGTAGGTGGTTCATAAGTTTGGATTGACCTGGCTCCTGTCATTTACTGTGCAGCACTAGCTTCAACTTCGAGTGACCTCAGTGACCTAGAGTACCCATCCCTCCTCACCCCTTGAGGGCTTACGTACCTGGCATCCTTCAGATTTGTTGATGGCAATTCCCTGCAAGTGGGAAGTGTCCTTGATTCATCCCTGAATCCCCAGTGCCCAGCCCAGTGCCTGGCACATGGATGCTCAGGAACTGGTCATTGGTTTTATTAATCTTCTCTTTATTTTTGATGCAGCAGTGCCAGGCTGCTTGGTCCCCATGCAGGGGGGGAAGCTGAATTGGAGGGGGTGGCAGAAGGAGGGGGGTGGTGGCAGCTGTCACCATGGTCTCCTGCTCGTCAGAGGCTGGAAGGATGAACTGGAAAGTAGGAGAATAGTGCCAGCGAACAGAGTCTTGCCCCCCCCACGGCGAAGGCAGCCCTGTACCGTCCCGTGTAATGCAGAGCGTGGATTGCCCCCGGCACGCTGAGAGCAACGCCTACCCTTGCCCGAGCCCCTGCCATGTCCTGGGCACCGGCTTAGGTACTTTCCACAGAAGCCCTCTAATGCGTGGTTCTGTGTTGTCAAGAAGAGATTAAATTATGTTCAGGCTGTGGCATGAAAACGGATAATGACCTTTCATATTTTCACTAAAAAAAGTTAAAATGAAGAGGAGGGTATGTTTCTGTTAACTGGGGAAAGAATGTCGCTGGCACCCCCATTCGCAGGGTGGCAGATGCCTGGTTATGTGGTGAAACTTCTGGGGCACAGCTTGGGAATGTGATTCTCCATAACCTCCTTCCTGCCTGATTTCCTCATTCTCTTTTCATTACATAAAAAAAGTAAATCGTCTTTTTCTTGTTGGGCCTGTAAGTGCGGTAGAACATGCAGTAGTCAGCAGCCAGTTGAATGTGTTGTTTGCATTTAGGGAGCTAAAAGAATCCACTTGGGTGAAGACTTAAAGAACATTCTCTCAGAAGCCCCAGGAAAATGTGTGCCTTATGCTGTTATTGAAGGTATGTTTATTTACTGGCAAAATTAAAAATTTCCTCTTCTTGAAGTTTAATAAAAATCTTCTTGGCTGATATTAAGGGCCTTTTGTATGGGGCAGTGTTCCAGAACTAGGACCTTGGGGTCAGAAAGACCTGGGTTATTGCTGTGTGATCCTGGCGCAATCACCCAACCTTTCTGAACCTCCCTTACCCCATCTGAACAAGAATTGCAACCTTTCAGGGTAGTTGGAAAGCTGAAATGATGTAAAGTGCTTAGCAGAGTGCTGACAAAACAACTTACCGTGATGTCATTTGCATCATTTTGATTAATTCAACTCAAACTAAAAACAACATTTAAATCACCTTGAAAGGAAAGGGCAGAACAGTTCTTCAGAAGTAAAATAATTTGTTTCCGTTTAGGGGCTGTTCGATCTGTTAAAGAAACGCTTAACAGCCAGTTCGTGGAAAATTGCAAGGGTGTGATTCAGCGGCTGACACTGCAGGAGCACAAGATGGTGTGGAATCGGACAACCCACCTCTGGTACATATCCTTTCTCCCCTGGCCAAGCCTCCCAGTCGGTCGGCTCACATGCTGGTGTCCTGGGTACTGTTCCCATGTCTTCCGGTTCCCCTGAGACAAGGCCTAGTCCAGTTTCTTCCTGCTGACGGTATTCTTGCGGGAGAACGGTTTTTCCAGCCAGTCCTAGTGGGTTTTTGTTTTGTATTTTGTATTTTTTTTTTTTTT